TTTTTTTAATGTCAAATCTACATTCTTACTTAAAAATTTTAAAATTTGTACGGTTTATACGTACTATAAATTGAATAAAAAAACTTGGGCTCGACTCGAGCTTTTTTGGGCCCGAGCCGAGCCGAGCAAAATCAGGCCAAAAAAAATGAGGCTCAGCCCAAACCTTTTTCGAGCCGGCGAGCTTGTTTGCCATCCCTAGTTTTATCTCCATACTTGGACATTGTTTGGGTATAACCATTTTCTCTCACTCAGATTTCTGTATTTGAGTCTATATATTATTTCCGTATGCTCAACTCACATACAAGTTACAAAGTTGTTGATCTATAATTTCTAGTAAGAGATTTTTCAACAGGTTTTAATATTTTTCCTTAGATCATATAAGAGAAATACATATTCATCTTGTAAATAAATATTACAATGTTTTCAATATTTTAATGCCATTGCAATCGTATATACATACACGAGAGAGAGAGAGAGAGAGAGATTTTGTATATGTCAAATTTCTCTTATATTATCTACAGCATAGGATCTTATTTCCAGTCAATTTTTTTCTTCAAAGTATTCGGAGGATAGTCACCAGAAAAATAGATACCGTCACTCTTTGCTTCCCAATAGCAATTAGAATGACACATTCCGGCCTAGTGTGATGAAAAAACATCGAAACTTATCTGCGCCTGACCCCACCAAAGATGACAAAAGAATGACATTGAACAAACCAACTCTCACAAAAATGCCAATGAAAATCGCCATTTAACGCTATTTTATGATGTCCAAGATCATCATCTCCAGAAGCACAATGCACTAAAGTGTTTAGAATTTGGAGGTAGTTTATTCACAACATGAACTGTATATTACTTGACAATGTGACAAGAAAGTGTGTGTAGAATGTTAGATGATAGGATGAGACATAATACTAGGTTTTTTTTGTTGGTACAAATCTTGACTACTGCAAAAAAAAAATAGATATAATGTGATTCTTCAAGGTGTTAGCTTTATTTCATCTTTGTAGCCTTTGTAATAAAATATAAAAAAATCTACCGAATTGTTTACCTCTCTCACATGCACGCGGACCCCGCGTGAATAAAAAAAATCCCAAGATGTGGTCCACACCCCCTATTGTAAGTAGTCGGTAAGAGATTCGGTAAAAAAAAATTCGGTACATGTAGCATAGTCCAAATTCAAGATATTTAATGCAATTTGACCGTCAATTGAGGATGTGTGATAAATATTTATATAATAATGAGGAAATTACACTGGATATCATTTTGCCTACATATATTATTTAATGGTT